AAGGAATATTGTTAGCAGGGAATAAGGATGGGGTGAGAAGGGCGAAGGAAGCGAACGGGAGAAGGATGGGATGGGAGGCATGGGAGAAGGGAGAAGGGGAGGGAGAAGGGGAGGGAGGGAGAAGGGGAGGGACCTGGGCCTCGAACTTGGACTTGAGGTTCTCAAACTTCCTGTTGAGGGAGTCGAGGTCGCGCATCTTCTTCTCTATGTCGTCGTTCCTCCTCCTTATCTCCACCTCGTACTTGGCAACCAGCTGCTCCTTTCTCTTCAGCTCCTCGTCGATCTCCTTGATCGTCGACTTGAGCTGGTCGTTGTGCGCCATCGTGTTCAGCGCGTCGACCCTGATCCTTGCGAGCTCGTTCCTCACTTGCGCCGCCTCGTTCTCCTTGGCATGCATCTGCGCCTGCATCCCCTGCGTCTGCTTGTCGATGCTCTGCGCGGCCTTCTGCAGGGTCGTCTGCTCCGCGATGGACTGGAGGATCCCTTGCTCGATCTTCTGCGTCTCATTGGACGTGCTGGCGATCATCTTGTCCATCTTGGCGATCTCCTCCGTGACGACCTTCTTCTCGCTCTCAACCTGTGCAAGCTCTCCTTCCGACTGCTCCAGAGACTTCTGAAGGATGCTGAACTGCTCCTGCAGCCTGTTCCTCTCTGCCACCACTTGCTCCACCTGCCTCTCCAGGAAGGCCGCGCTGTTGCGGATCTTGTTGAGGATGGAGGAGAGGTATTCGTTGCGATCCTGCTCCTTCTTGATCGACTGCTTGAAGGAGCTGATCTCTCCCACGACCGCCATCTCCTGCTGCTGCACTTCCTTCAGAACCTTCTCCGCTCCTTGCAGGTGCTCGTCCCTCCTCTGGACGGCGAGCAGCGAGCTCTTCCACTGCTGGATCAGCTGCTTCTTCTCGAAGCGGATCTTCTCCATCTCATCATTCGCCTCTCCCAGCACCCTCTTCGCTGCCTCCGTCTCCTCCTTCTGCGCCGCAAGCTGGGAGGAGAACATCTGCAGCTTGTCCTCCAGCACCTTTGTGCTCTTCATCAGGTCGTCGATCAGCAGGTCTTGATGCTTCTTCTCCTGCTCCAAGTTCGACACCTGCTCCTCCGCCTTGTACGTCGCTCGGCGCGTGATGGCAATCTCGCTCTTCATCTGCTGGTTGTACTGCTCCACCTGCTGAAGCGTCGCGTTGAGCTTGTCCAACTCGATCTGGAACTTGTTCATCCTCTTCGTCTGGTCTGCGATCTCCGCCTGCTTCTTGTCATAGTCCTTGCTGATTGTCTTCGCCTGATCTTCCGCCTGCTCCCGCACCCGCCGCACGTTGTTGAAGCTCTCGTGCGCCTTCTCCAGCATGATCTGCATCCGCGCAAGCTGCTGCTGCACCCCGTACAGCTCCACACCGACGTCCTCCTTCTGCCTCACTAGCCGCCTCAGCTCTTCGTCCTTCTCTCGCAGGTCCTCGGTCACTTTCCTCTGCTGATCTTCCAGCTGCTTTGTGAGGGCAGCACGGATCCTTGCGAACAGGGGGTTCGATGGATCCAGCTCCTCCTCCTCCCCTTCATCATATCCCGCTTCCTCCCTCCCACCGTCCTCGTCCTCGTCCTCGCCCTCGTCAAACTCTTGTCCCTCCTGAGACAGCAAGGGCTCCCCTCCTTCATCTCCCTCCTCTCCCTCGTCTCGAATCTCGCCCTCACCCTCGTCAAGCGGGTCGATGCCTTCCGGGTCCTCGTCGAAGTCTGCCCCGTCCACCGGCTCATCGGCAACCTCGCCATCGCCCTCGAGATCCTCCTCGTTGAAACCTGCTCACACGGCATGAGCAAGAGCCCCACGGCAGCAGACGGTCAAAAGTTCAGGTGACAATCATCGAACAATTCTCATCGAGCTGCTCTCATCGAACAACTTTCATCATGCCATTCATCACACGTGGGATCAGATACACGAGAACACTAACTCTACACTCTGCAGCAACATCATACGCAGCTTCACCTTCTCCAGCCGTTGGACTTCCACCTTGGAACTCAATGCTGGGCTCGCCTCCAATGTTCTCATCACTCTCTCGCTCCAGCCCTGATCCCTCCCCTGCTGGTTGCAAGATGCCTTCCCCTCCCCCCCCTCCTCGCCCCCTTCCTCCTCGACACTGGCTCCTGCGCCTTCACCTTCCCCTTCGCCATAATCCTCTTGCTCTCCTTCTCCTGCAGACATTGCTCCCTCCCCTCGGTCTCAGCTGCCATCACCGCGTGAGGAGGAAGCCTTTCATAGCTCCATGGCTTACCTGTTGCCGCGCCCTCCGCCAGAGTGTCCGCTCCATCATCTCCAGCTTCGCCCCCATGATCGTCATCCGCAGATTGATCCACATCCTGCGAGTCTCCTCCTTCCCCAGCGCCCGCATCTCCTGCTCCAGTCTCCTCCTCACCCCCTGTCCCTGCATCGTGATCCCCCTCTGTACCTCCTTCAGCTCCTTCGGCTCCATGTGCATCTCCAGCATCCTCTCCCGCACCATCCCCTGCACCCTCTCCCTCTCCCTCTCCCTCTCCCGCGCCCTCTCCCGCGCCCTCTCCTCCGAACTCTCCCGCACCTTCTCCTTCGATACCTCCACCTATCGTCTCTCCGTCCCTCTCCCCTCCTCCTTCCTCTCCCCCTCCGCCTGCTCCTGCCCCCCCTGCCGCATCGTCCGCCATTTTCCGTTGACGAGCCGCTCACAGTCGTTGCTCCGGTCTCCCAACATCCGCAGAATTCTATCTTGAAGGCCCGGAGCTGCGTTTGTATGGCGTTGCAGACGTGAGGGTATGGGGACATGAGGGGTACTTTAGTAGTCAAATACAGGGGTACTGATTTCACAGTAGGGGTACCTCGATTGGAAGGCAGCCATTTCCCTACACGGGTACTGGGGAAAAAAGGAGAAGGAGGGGGTGGGGGTTCAGGGAACATTCCGTGCTCCAACTGCAGTCCTGAAGGCGTCGTAGGTGGTGAGAAGAGGAAAAATGAGAGGGAGGGGGGGAGGTGGCGAGGGAATGGACAGAGGAGATGAGGAGCGAAGGGATGGGAAGACAAGAGAAGGAACGAGGGGAAAAGGGATCAAACAAGAAGGCATAAGGGGGGGAGGAACGAGGAAAGGTAGAAAGTTTTGTTTGTGATTTCCTCTAGTCCTCAATTCTCAGCGGCTACCTGAACCTCTGATCACCTCAAGCTAGGGTTCTCCTCTTCGTGTCCCTTTGTGCACATGTTAGCTGGTCTATGAATAAAAAAGCAAGCATAAAGTGTTAAGTCTTGCAGAGAGCTGGGTCGCTGACTTTTTGCGATGTTACACTTTTTGGCATCCAACAAACTTTGTGCTGAAAACAAAATCACTGATATCATGCCAAAAACGCAGTAGTAGTGGCTTGATGTAGTAGAGCAAACTTTCGCATTCGAGCATGATCTAAAATACCTGATTGAAAGGGAAATTGAGTCGTGAACCTGTTAGTTTCAAGCTGTATAACCGATTGCTTTTGCAGCAACCATGGCGCCAGTGGACTTGAACTTGGTCGGGCAATACTACGCCATTATAAGCCGAGCTATGACTGAGGGAACAAAGATTGCTGTCGAAAATGCTGTTAGGATGGTGACGATGGGTACAAACTTGAAATTCTTTCGTTGAGTAGACGGGGGACCTGACACACAGTCATGTGCAGGACTTGATGGTGATCTCATCGCCAAAGTTCTCTCATGGGTCATCACAAGAGTCATCAAGAGTGTCGTCGACATCAAGACCAAGGCGCTCACCGTTGCTCTGCGGTGTGAGTACCTGCAGCGTCACAAGAGCGTGAAGAGAGCTTGGAACCTGATCAACAAGTGCAGCACATGCAAGTGCATCGGGCACAACAAACAGGCAAGTTGCACTGCGGCAAGTCTCCGACTGTGATCGGGACGCCATGCCTCGTGGTCTGAGGTGCTGACCTGTGTGTTTCATCAGAATCATCCCCCGAAGATGAACGATCTGCTCAAGTCGCTGGGGATGATCGATACTGTGATGAAGCAGATTGAAACTTTGGTCACTTCCGATGGCGATACGTCAGTCCAACTTGACTGATGGCAGACTCGAGGTTTCGACCTCATGAACTGTAGCGCCAGACCGATCCGGGCTGCCATGGCCACTGAGTCATCATCCGGCCTGGCATTTCTATGCCAAATATATTGGAGTCGCGGCGAGAGCTACCGTGCCATAGGACTAGTATCAGCGGGGCTCGGGCGGCTTGGATCTGCTGACATTCTCTTGTTTGTGTGACTTTCTGACGTCCGATCATGTACTATTTCAGAAACTTGGGGAAACGATGGATCGCATGCAAGCCGTGCAAGTGCCAGGCTGGCCGCCCGGCACTGAGCCTGAGTATGACAGTGCCGCTGTGCCAACAAAACTCTCCTAAACCAAACTTGAAACTTAAAGTTGGCAAGCCCGGCCGCTGCCGGCGACCCAAGTTACCCGGTAGTACTATAGGCTCGCGGGCCGCCGACTGCCGGGCGGCACTGCCAGGGCCCGGCCCGGCGGGGCGCGGCGCACTACTAGCCTGAGGCTACTGAGTCACACTGACTGAGCTCCGCCGGGCCGGGCGCCAATTAAGTGCCGCGGCGCCGCCGCCGCACCGGCGTGTGACCGCACCGCGCGCGGCCGCACTCGGCGGAGCCCTCCGTTTGTTGCCGGGCCGGGAGGCTTCAAGTTGACAACAGAACGGTGACCGGGCCGGGCTGCGGCGGCAGCCCCGGCCCCGCGGCCCACTGACCGGCAGGCCGGGCGGGTGCCAAGGCCACCGTGACCGTACTGAGTCACTGTGTGACTAGGTGACGTCGTGATTTTCTATGACAATACCCACCCACCCCTTATTCACCGAAGGTCCATGGTAGAATTAAGGTAGGGGTGGAGGTTGTTCTGCACGAGGAAGACACGGAAAAAAATCATCGGGGGTCATATCCTACCCCCGAATGTACATCAATTACCCCTACTTGCAGTGGTGTTCTAGGGGGTAGTCCATGACACCAAATAGTCGAAATATGCTCCTACTCGTATTGTTCCAACCACACCACTACCCCCAAGTTGACCCCCTGATTGACCCCACCCAGTGAAGAAAGGTTCATGTACCCACCATCGCCATTGGTACAACAACCCCACCGCCGTTTGGCATACCCTACCCCATGCAACCAAAAGAGTACCCCACTTGACAAAAAAGATTGACAACCCCTTTTACCCCTTCGTCAATGATCTGAAAACAGGGGTGTCTTATGACCCTACCCCCTGAACTTAACGAGCAGTCTCTATGACCCCCTTTGACATCCAAATTATTACCCCCCCACCCCCCTGTGATTGCAAGCTTCTTTACCCACCCCAAAATTCTCTGCACGAGCCAGATGCCCTACATGAAGTTTATAACCCAAGGGGGTAGGGTGCACCACTCCTACCCCCTCTAGAAAGGGACAGTGTTTATCAAGTAAATTGTTCAAGATACTATGTATGGTGTTATTTACTATTGCTCCACTTAATAAACTTCATATCTTTGACACCTTTGACGTACCCAATCCTTGAAACCCCCATCGGAAGGTAGAATGTCCTTCAGGACCCCCCCGTTGGTCAACCACCCCATGTTACTCCTACCACCACCCTACCCTGTTTCCCACAAAATACCCCGCCACAAACACCAAAGGACCGAATGAAGTACCCCATCCATTACACCACCCTTTTCAGATTACCCCATTCATGGAATGAGTACCCCCGAAGTTTTGTACCCTACCTCCAATTTCAAAATAAAAAGTTCTTGTATTTCTATTGTAATACCCATGAGAATTGTACCCCTACCCACAAATTTTCATTACCACCCTACAATCAAGACAAGTTCAAGACCCTCTCACCCCTACCCCCCCTTGACCACACCCCACCCTCCAGTAGCTTCCCTGCTCGAGTTTGTCCCGGAGAAAGAGAGCAAACTCATCCCTGAAAAAAAACAATGAAGTACCCCACCCACTTTTTCACCAAGTATCATCGTATAGACTACCCCTTATCAAGAGTATGAGCTCACAACTTGGTCCTTCTTTCTTTCTTTGCTCCCGCCACACGCCATGGCGACCGCGGTATGACAATGTGCCAATCTCCCTTCCCCCCCCCCCGGCATGGCAGGAAACTGGAGACGCAGTCGCGATTGCGATGATTCCTGTGTTTCCTTCAGGCCTCCTTGATGCTCGTGACTTGATCTCATCAGTCTTCATCCTCTCTGAAAGATGCTCCACGTGCAAACATTCACTCCCATCGCCTGTGCACCCGTTTCAATCTCATTTCCCCTCCCTTGTTCATACTTTGTGTCTCATAGTCCTACTATAATGCCTTGAAATCAATGTCAAAAATCTCAATACCCCAGCTTCACCTACCATGTACATTGGCCAGGGTCCCTGCTCAACGATCATGCCCAATCGCTCATTGACCGTTTGAAGTCTTTCTCTTACCTTCGCCCCCATGTTGCGACGAGTCTCTGATGTTGCCGCAGGCACAAGCGCTCTTGCGCCCGACCGTGCAGCACTCCCCAACCTTGGAATCTTTTCGGGATGTGCTGAATCGCCCATCCACCAAGAGGACAGAAGGATTGCAACGTTCGCCCAACGGCTCGTCGGGTGAACACACCATGGCCAGTATTCTTCTATCAAATCTACGGGAAAGCCCTGTGATGGATTCATCCACCACTCCAAGATCAGAGCAAGTGACGAAAACTGATTGTATCAAGGCCAGCGCATGCTTACTCTCGGATTTTGCCTTATACCCGAGAGATTCTCACCAGAAGAAGCTCAAGACTTTTGAGATCTCGGAGTTTCGGATCGGTCAACCCATCATAACTGTGCTAGAAGATCTGAACCCGCCTGAAGCGGCTGAAGAGAATGAAAAGCTTGCGGCAAAGCGCAAGGCTGAGGAGATGGGATTAGACGAGAAAGAATTGTTGGCTGCTGAGATCTTGTCCGCTTCTTTCGGAGGAGGAAGCGATAGCGTTGTTAGCGCAAAGAGCGGCAGGAGCAAGGCGGCGAGAACTGACGGTCGAGGGCATGGTAATGGCTCTCGCAATTCCAACAGGGCGAGCGTCGCATCAGAGGGGGGTGAGAAAGACTCAACTGTGGGGAGGTTGAGCAATCGGCGGCAGTCGTCGAGTGACAGCTCCCCGAGTGCTCCGATCGTAGAGTGGGCCCGCAAGGTTGTTGATTTCTTGGAAGTGAACGGGCAGGACCTGCTTCATGCGATCTGCGCCCATTACAGAATAGAATTCTCGGGAGATATCCGCTCGATCCGAGACTACTCCATCGAGCAACTTGCGCACAATGCAATCTTTAACCCAGCTCTTCCGAAGACTTCTGGACGACTACCAAAGATGCTGAGGGATGTGGACGGGGTGGCGGATTGGAACATGACATTCTTGAAGAACAAAGCAGGTTTGTTTAGGCAGCCTTCGGCCGCAACTGTGATACTGACTGAGTCCTGTCTCAGGAATCTTTCGAGCCGTTCGGGTCACAGCAACACTCCATGGAGATCCATTGTTCCTCGAGTGCAGATGTTGCTCCTACTGCGGTTCTTGCTTCAGTGGTCGCTTCATGAAGCCCAATGCCATGCATCAGCAGGTACGAAGACTCCCGTACTGTTGCCGTCGCTCTTCGCTCACTTTCCATGTGATTCAGGCTGGGGGATGGAAGGAAATCACTGAGAGGACGGCAGCTGGCAAGTATTCCTGGGCAACCTTGAAGGGATGGAGACTCTGCGTCCCCTGCTTCACCCATTGGGCTTCCAACGGCACCAACGTGAATGCCAATAGGCCAAGCATTGAGGATCTTGTCACTGAGCAGAAGCCCGGCAGGACAGAAGGTGTTCTGCGTTGGGAGGTGCGAAGCTGCTTCTGCCCGGTGATCTTACTGACTTGTCGACCTGACAGACCGTCTCTTCTGTAGCGTTCGACCAGAAGTCTGTGGCGGATCCATAGGAATCAGTTTGGAAGCATCTGCTTCTTCCGTCAGGGTGGACACACGGGCTGGTTGAGGGCAGATCATGATGCAGTTTGTTTTTGTCTGCTCCTCCGCAACATGCAAGGAAGGTCACTATAATGACGATCACGCGGAAGGCTGGATGAAGTGAATGGTTAAAAGTGTAAAATTTGTTTTCAGTAATTGTTCGGCATCTTTGAACCAGTGCTGGATTGTTGGAATATGTCAGTAAATCTTATAAGATTGAATAGCATGTTGCTTATTGTGCTAGATTCTACTCCCTCTGCCTTCCAACACCCGCCCCTCCCTGCTGCCACATCGCGATCGCTCATGTGTCGCTGAAGACGACCATCCATGGCTGGATGTACTGACTTGACGGCGCTGCAGGAGAGTCAGGGACGGGGAGACGAAGCAGAGAGGAGGACGCAGAAAGAGAAGCGAGGAAGAGGGAGGGACCGCAGGGAGGGCATGGGAGGAGAGGGCATGGGAGGAGAGGGCAGGAGTAGAAGGGACATGAAGGAAGTCGAAATAGAGAGGAGGAGGAGGAGGACAGGAGACGAGCAGGGGCTACCTGTGAGGTCAGTGCAGCTCTCGATGATTTGTGTAGTGATGCTCCGCAGCCAATCGCAATGCTCCTTGCTCAATTGCGGTGCCTGCATGAGCAAGATGAGAAGAGAAGGAACGGGGAGGAGGCGGAGGAGGAGGAGGAGAAGAAGAAGCAGGATTAGGAGGAGAAGCAGGAGGAGCAGGAGCAGGAGCAGGAGCAGGAGCAGGAGCAGGAGGTTGAGGTGGGAGGCAAGAGGGAGTCAGACTAAAGCAAGAGGTAGAGATGCGTGAGGAGAGGGGATAGGGAAGGCGATGCGAGGGTCTCTATCTTGTCCTCTTCCTTCTTGTCTGACAGGAGCAGGTACCTGGGACTCCTCCGTGACCTTCTTAATGGCTGGGAACTGCTCCTCGATCTGGGCCTTGAAGTTTGCGCCCTTCATGTTGCCGTAGCTCAGCGACTGGTACAGCAGGGCGATCTGGTGGGCCATGTACTTGTGGTTGCTGCTGCTGAGGTCAGCCCGGATCTGGGAGGCCATGGCGAGGGTCTGGTGGAGGAGTGCGATGTGGTTGATGTACTCCTTGAACGTCACCGACTTGTCCGAGCTGGGCTCGAGCTGCAGTCTCTCAGCTAGGGAGGGGAACAGCTCCAGCATCCTCAGCTGATCCAGAGCGTCCCGGAGGGACAAGCTGGGGAACAGCTGGCCGCACTCCTTCTGCAGCTGCATGTAGAGCTGCTCCAACCCCGCTGCACAGACTGTGCGAAGTCCGAGTTGTCGTTCGCCTCTACCAACTGCGCCTCCTTGTCGATCAGGATGCTCATCTGAGCACAGATGCAGCCCACCGAGGTCACGTCGGCCCCGAGCTCCTCCTCCTCCTCCTCCCTCCGGCACAGTGGCTCATCCAGCATCACGTGCGCTGGCTCGTAGCCCCAGTCGAAGAGGTTGGTGCAGGAGACGATCGGGTCCGACTCCGCCAGCCTCGTCCGGATGGCAAACTGCTGGATAGGAGCTGGGCGAGCTGCTTTCGATGCGTACGACATGGCTGGCGAGAAGAGTTCACAGGGCCGTCCGAGCTCACTTGCGAAGCATCCGGTGGGGACGAGCTATGGGACGGGGAGGAGGAACCTAGAAGGAACCTAAGGGTATCAAAAGGTCAGAAGTTGACGTGGTAGTATCCTCCAAGTCTCAAGCACGATCCCTCTTCACCGTTGCTCCATCTCCATGCCATCCTAACACCTCTTGTACCTCTCTCCTCTCCTCATCTCTCTCCTCCCCTGTCGTGTCGTGTCCTGTCCTGTCGTGTCCTGTCCTGTCGTGTCCTGTCCTGTCGTGTCCTGTCCTCCACTCCTCCTCTCCAACCTTCACAGTCTGCTCCATCATGTTCATCATCTAGAATGTTACTGACAGAATATCGTACAAGATCAAAGGTGTAATGATATGAAATTTTCTTCAACCAAGACAAAGAAAGCAATCTGATCATCATAGCGACACGACCATCATCAAAATCATCTCCTTGTCGAACATTCAACAAATTTCCTTCCTTCTTTCCTTCCTGCTTGCCTTCTTGCCTGCCCCTTTCCCTCCCTATCCTTTCCCCCATCTCCACCTTCAGCTCGCTCTCCATATCCAACTGATCCATCACGCATCAAGCAGCTCTCTTGCACAGAGCCTTCTTAACCAATCTCTTCCTCTCAACACACGGGTTCTCTGACTCGATGCCGAAAATCGCTTTCGTCCTCCCGCTCTTCCCCACTACCACGTGCCCCCGCCACAAAATACTTCCATTCTGCTCTCCCTGACCTCAGGCACCTGCCTCTCTCGCACATCCTATTTCTAGACAGCTTTCCTCGTCCCCCGCTGATTCTACTCTCCTCCTCCAACTGCTCCATTTCTTACCCCTCCTGTCTCCATCTTCTGTATTACTTCCCTTGCTTCAACTAAGCTCACCTCTTCGTCGCCTCACAACGTCCTTCGCTCTTTTTCATCTACACTCCTGCTCTCCTGATGTAGCCTGTTTGATTGCTAGCCCAGCGCCTTTTCCTCTCTCCTCCTCCTCCTCCTTTCAGACCCCCATATCTTGCTCTTCCTATCATCCTGCCCCTCCTGCTCCTGCCCCTGCCCCTGCCCCTGCCCCTGCCCATGCCCCTGCCCATGCTCCTGCTCCTGCTCCTGCTCCTGCTCCTGCTCCTGCTCCTGCTCCTGCTCCTGCTCCTGCTCCTGCTCCTGCTCCTGCTCCTGCTCCTGCTCCTGCTCCTGCTCCTGCTCCTGCTCCTGCTCCTGCTCCTGCTCCTGCTCCTGCTCCTGCTGCTCCTGCTGCTCCTCTTCATCCTCACCATCCTCCCTCTCCTCTCTCCGTCTTTCTCCCTCCTCCCTCTCATCTTCTCATCCCCGTGAGCAGGCATCTAGATCCTTCCCTCCGCCTCTTCTCTGCCTCCTCTACTCGCATTTCGCTGCCCTTCTCTCTCTTCAATTGTCAATCATGGGGCGAGCTTGATTTGTCTACACGCGCAGGGACTACTGGTTCCTGATTTTTAACTTAACTTTGAGTAAAGGTTCCGCAGCTCACCTCAGCAAGAATCATAGCAAGGTGACCATGGCAGTAAAAGGTTCACTTACTCAACCAAGTTCCGTATGCGACTTGCGGCCCGCCGTGAAACAAAACACTAGTAACGCCGGGTGACTCGGGCCGGGCCCGACTCCCGGCGCCCGGGGGCCGAGTGAGACTCAGTCAGGCTCGTTAGCCCGAGTCAGTCCAGGCCCGGGACCGAACTTTTTAAACTTTGAAAAGATTAAAACACACTTGGAAAAACTTAAGAAAAAAAAATGGGCTCCGGGCGGGCCCGACACAAATTCAAGAGTCCCGAGTGTAGGAAGACATCCGATGATCAACTACTGGATTCCTGGACAACGTCTGTCCAAAAAGATATGGCCCGGAGGATTTTCCGGTGTTAGGTCCGACAACGATGGGATTCGAACCCACGCAGGGAGACCCTAATGGATTAGCAGTCCATCGCCTTAACCGCTCGGCCACGTTGTCCTGTCACACAGGTTCATTCTATAGTTTATATATTAGTGACAAGGGTGGGTCCTTTGCTGGTGTTTGCGGGGTAGGGGTGTTGGCGGGTTCCGAACTATAGATTAGAACGCTATGAGTTCACAGAGTGCAGAAGTGTGAGGGGAAGAGCGAGAGTAGCGTCTTCTTTGATCTTTCTCTTCACCATGAGAAGCATCATGTGTCTGCCTCGTTGCCATCAGGACCAGCAGCAACCCCAGCTTCTGGACGGGTTGAGCTTGACGGCGAAAGCGACAGACCTTGGGTAATCATTACATTTGTTCATACGCCATCGATCCTGCATATTTGACTTGTCAACCGGCCAACGAAGGTCAAGAGTAAACTGCATGCTCACCGTCTGCATTATGCCGCCAGTATCGTTTACGAACGTTCACAAACCAATTTGAAACCTGCTCCACACATTTCAACTCAACAGCCCCATCGTGTGAACCAAGATACCTGCACTTCTGATACCCCAGCCGCACGGGCCAGCGCCTAGATGACATGAACAATTATTGCACACCCCAACAGACAGGAGGAACGATGCAGGATGAAGGAGGCAGGAGGATCGTCGCGCACGTGTCTGACCTGCTTCTCTGTCTCCGTTGGGTAAGGGTGTGCGGCATGCTGCCTGAACCACGTGCGAAAGATCTCGACAGCCGACTCCGGCAGGTTCGCTCTCCTCCTCTTGTTGGCGCACTCACGCTGGAGCTCCTCGACCTTGCTCCCGTACTGGCAGGGCATCAGTTGATGCACAGCAGACCTCTCGATGATCTCTGTCAGTAGCTGGTCACCTTTCGTTTCACCGTCTCCTTGAGCCCCTGCCCGTCTTTCAGCGACAACACGTGCATGAGAATCCTGAGACCTGGATCTTGTGGCAGAGCTGCGAGCCCTTGAGGAGGGGCTCTGCTACTGCAAAGTCCTCGATAGCGTTGGAGTATTCCGTCAAGAACTTCATGAGGGTCGAATAGAAGAGCTCGACTCTCTTCCTCCCTGTGCATGCATGCTCGTCAGTTTGCCGCATCTCTGCTCCCATGGCGCCAGAAGTCACTCACTGCGGCGAGTCAGGGCAACGAAGGCCCTCAGGGCTTCGGTCAGCAACGGCGATTCCTCATCGCCCTCAAGATAGCCCTGTTACCATGAAGAGCCGTTAGAGCATGTGAGACCAAGTAGAGAGCGCTTTGCTCCACGAACTGTGTTCAGATCCTCGTCTTCGTTCTCGTCCTCCTCGTCGCAGGCGATGTCGTCTTCCGATTTAATGAAGGAACGCAAGAGCATCTCGTACTCCTGCAGCGAGTGTGGGCAACCAGTGAGGAAACCTTGATCATGAAGGGAAACCAACAAAGGCATATCACACTTTGATAGCCACAGGCCATAGATCATGCTTCTCGACTTCTTCCGCGAGCTTCTTCGCCTGATCATCGAGCCCAATGTCGATGTTCTCTGACAAGCTGAGTCAGTCTCCTTCTTTACATTGCGATATCCTCGGATCAGGTGTGGGAGAGACTTACTGAGAGCTTCTGAGAGGGAGTCGAACCCAATTTCATCGCTCTGTGGCTCCTCCAGCACCAGCTCATTGCGCGTTACCACAAAGAACACCTCCTCCGATGCCGCCATTGCCTGAGCTTTCTGTTTGCCCCCTGCCGTCACCACCCCACCTCACTCTATCTCTTCGATCACTAAAAGTACCCCTACTTTCAATAGAATTGATTCCTTATTTACACCGGTGATCATGAAGTATACCCTACCCTTTTCCACTCCATTCCAGATATTGACCACCCCATACGGACCCACCCCGTTATACAAAGTCCTTTGCCCCACCCCCTACCCCCTCAATTCGTCCGTACCCCCAAATTCACAAAAATTCAGTCTACAACTGACCCCTATTTTTGTTATGAAAGTACCCCTATTCAGATAATGTATTGGAATAACCCTACCCACTATCAAGAGATACCCCCCACCCAGACAAATCACGGATTCCACTGATCCACGACTCATAAAGGCATGCAAACATTCCTGTGGTGGGGTAGTCCCGCAATCCCACGGGGGTGGGTATATCTGTACGAGGTTACAGACGACTACAGGGGGTGAGGGTACTATTATTACGGTAAAGGGGTGGGGTGGGGTCAGGGTGTGAACCTGACTATGGCGCGATGGATGCTGGTTGTAGCGACGGCCATGGCCATGGCGACCATGGTGCAAGGAGACAGAGGAACTACTCTCCTGGCTCACCGACATGCCTTCACTCCTCTCAGGTAGAAGAGACCATCGCATGAGAAAGCTGCGATGGCCTCGGTCATAGCAGCGAACACCAGTGTGAACATTTATGACATGGTCTGCCGATACATCACAAACATATCCCTCGTGCGCCAGCTCCTGATATGAAGCACTGATATGATGATTCTGTTTGACAAGTACGACCAGTCGTCCTTCTGACACCTTGTTTCTAGCAGGAGCGGGCAGATCCGCAGGAGAAACATGTGCGCGGTCGCTATCCCTGGTGACTCAGTTGGGGAGGAAGTATTCGTTAGAGGCTTCCAGAACTTTCTTACTCTCTACCAGAATCTCCTGGTTGCCAGAGTGCTGTGAGTCAGAGACGCTCGTACCCATCGATGTTCCTCTTGACGAGTTCGCTGGCAGCCTTTCCTGGTTCCCTTCCGCGCAGTCCATTGGAGCTCTCCAGCCCCTCTACAACGTCTGTGATCCGTAAGGCGTGTAGAGGCATCTATGCATGGTCTGAAGCTGTCTTGAAAGCTATCTCAACACTTTTCGTGGAATCATTCCGCCGATCGGCGGCATTGATCTCTCTCCCATCCTCGCTTTCACCCTTCTCCAAGTGTCAGCCGGTGCCATGGTTTCCCTGGGCGCGGAGACCCCGCGGAGGGTAATTGCTCGTCCTTGCGTGCTCACTGACGAAAGATCTGATCGTCTCTCCAGGGATACGAGGGATGGGCGAGAGTCCCCGAGCAGAAGGTCAACCATTCTGCCGATGGTTGTCAATGTGTCTGACTTGGTGTCTTTCCCGAGCAGGTCGGCATCTGCGAAGCATTTGTCAAGAGGAGGTTCAACTTGTGAGTGAATGAATCAAGATCTTGGTCGATTGCTTGCCAAGTTTGCTTCCCCACTGCCAACCCCCCGACATCCTTCGCTGCCACCGAGTGCGGCAGTCCACCCCGTGACTCGGCGGCAGACGAAGTGAGACTCTAAGGGAAAGAGCATAAGACAACACGATCACTTGTCACGAGACTTGAAATGCCATTGAAAAGCATGTGTCAGAATTTGCTGGACGATGAGCTGACGGCCCGGTGTATTTCGTTCCATACTGCCGCCGGCATCTCATCACTGCCAGTGTGATCAACGCGGCCAGTCAGTCACTCGGATCGCCGCTGCCAGAGCCTCCCGGAGTCCGAGGCTGGGACTCGGTCCACTGCCAGGACTCGGAAGTTGATGGTGGGGAGTCACTGAGCCGCCGCGCGTCACTGCGTTGCTGCAAGTTGGGATCAGTGGGGCGAAGCCTTCAGTCTCCGTACGATGTGACTCGAAGGTAGGCTCTGAAGACCCCGTAGGGGGGCGGACTCCGAACTCGGGGGACCGGGAGCCTGACGGTCCGGGCCCGCCTTTATATATTATGTTGGCCACCTCTGACTGGGGTACTTGCTGGATTATCTAGGGGTGGGGGTGGGGCTGGGGGTGGGGGCCGAGGGGTTTGAGTGTGAGGATCCTGAAGAGGAGGAAGGGGCAAGAACAGGAGTAGGAGCAGGAGCAGGAGCAGGAGCAGGAGCAGGAGCAGGAGCAGGAGCAGGAGCAGGAGCAGGAGCAGGAGCAGGAGCAGGAGCAGGAGCAGGAGCAGGAGCAGGAGCAGGAGCAGGAGCAGGAGAAGGAGCAGGAGAAGGAGCAGGAGCAGGAGCAGGAGGTGTGTCAGGAGAGGAAGGTTCATTGGAAGATGGAAATAATACAAAGAGTCAAACTCCGGGAAGCACAAGAAACTGCGGGGAGAGGGAGAGGATGTACTGCTGCAGTCAAGGGCTGGTGTAGGGTTACATGGTAGAAAAGCGGAGAAGGGAGGACAAATGTGGGAGGGGGCGAAGGGTGAAGCGGATAGGAGTGCGAGGATTGGTAGATGATTCAGAGTACAAGACCTCTGCACATCAATGATGAAACAACACGGATGTGAATGCAGATGAGGGGAGGCTGGGCAGGGAGTTGAGGGTAGAAAGCGAGCAGGTCAGGAGACCCTTGCCGAGGGTCGAGGGAACGAGTGATAGTGTAGTCGATGTGCTCTGGCATAACATAAAAAGCCTCTCGCTGCCTGCGTTGCCGATCTGACTCTAGTCCCTTGCCAGATGTACAGTCGCACCGCCCTCTCCGTCACCTTACTTGCTGCACTGTGCGGCGTGGATGCCTTCATGGCTCCTGTCATGCCTTCCCTGCGATCGGCCACCTCCTCTCGCTCGAGCATCCATGCTCTGAACCACAGACAAGGTTCGCTTCAGCAGGCAAACTTCCTCCTGCGTCCTCGCGTCGCTGCACACAAGGCGACGGCGCTGAGGATGGCAGGATCCGAGTTCGACTATGACGTTATCATCATCGGATGCGGAGTAGGAGGACATGGAGCTGCTCTTCATGCCCGTGGAAAGGTGAGGGAGGAGAAGGAGAGGGAGGAGAGGGAGAGATGGAGCAGAGGGGAAAGAAGGGACAGGCGTAGACGAGGGAGGGAGGGGAGAGAGGAGTGAGGAGAAAAGGAAAATGCGCAGATGAGGGAAGAAAGGGAGGGAGGAGATGATAGGACTGGTGAAGGAGAAGAAATGACATGGGGATATGAAGGGCTTGAAGACGGCGATCTTCACTGGAAGGGACGTCGGAGGAACCTGCGTCAACAGAGGATGTGTTCCTTCGAAGGCCCTGCTGGCTGCCGCAGGACGAGTCAGGGAGATGAGGGACCAGAAGCATCTCGAGGGTTTCGGGATCAAAGTTGAGGGAGAAGTGAAGTACGACCGCGAGAAGGTAAGAGGAGGAGGGAGGGGAAGAGAGGAGATGGAGGAGGAAGGTCAGGGGGGGGGGTAGGGAAGGGGTAACGAGGTTGAAGGGAGATGTATGAGTGCAGGAGGAGGGAGAGAGATAGCTGAGGAGAGGAGGAGGAGGAGGAGGAGGAGGAGGAGGAGGCTCGTGGGGCTGACGCACAGGTGCAGGTGGCGGCTCATGCTGATCAGCTGTCTAAGAACGTCGCCAAGAACTTGGGCAACTCGCTCGAGGCCCTCGGGGTTGACGTCATCCCTGAGGCTGGCCTGCTCGTGGGCCCCAACAAGGTGAGAAGAATCGAGCTCGTCCTCCCTCCCTCCCTCCCTCCCCCTCCCCTCCTCTGCCTCCCTTCCTCTGCCTCTCTCTCCCTCCTGTGCTCTTCTTCACCTCATCTCCTCTCTGGCTCTTCCCCGCCCCCCCTCCTGAAAATCTTTCTCCCCTCCCCTTCCCTCACCCCTCGCTATCACCGACTCTCCTGACGACGCCTGCAGGTCAAGAAGGCTGGAACCGACCAGGTTGTCACCGCAAAGGACATCATCCTTGCTCCTGGCTCCATGTGAGCATTGCTCTCCTCCTCCTCCTCCTCTGATCCCCCGCAGCCCCTTCGTTCCTCCT